ATCATCATCATCATCATCATCATCATCTATCATCATCATTGTACGGCCAGATAAGAAATACCCAAAAACGTTATACATCAATTTAAGAAATACAGAAAGACATATCGATGTAAAAGTTATACAAGTTCATGATATATATCATGTACYACATACTCTGTCATAGAACTCAACAATCAAATGATGAGCAAAATCTTCAGAACCAAACTGCAGGTCAACTATTCTGTCAATGCCCAACTGAGTCAAAGCTACGAGACGTTTTTGTTTCAAGTGTTTCCTCAACTAGGAAAAAATAAAACATATTATTTTTCAAAAAAAATTCTTAACTTGATCATTTAAGTAAATTATTTTAGTAAATTATTTAATTAACATTCTTTTTATTGCTACACACTTACACTGTACTTCAAGACAAAAAAATTGAAACAGGAAGCAAACAACCCAGACAACTCTTGTTACAGTATATGGGTATGWTATTATTAGATGGGTATCAATTTTTTTTCTTAGGATTTAATAAAAAATATGCTGTATTTTTTGACAATCCTTACTTTTATTGCAAATCCTGAAGGGAATGTATTCTTTGGCCATTCAAATTCTGTAGTGTGCATTCTATTCCCTGACTCTATTAACAACATTGCCTTTTCATCTGGCCTGGAAAAATGCATGTTWAAAACAAAATTATAATAAATATTGTTCAACTCATTTTAAAAACAGCTACAGRAATGAATCTGATCTTTTTTTAATGCAATGGGCTGTAAAAATATGCGCTAACACATGTAGAACCATTAAATAAAGAAATGATACTCTAGGGAATGACATGTGGGGTGAAATGGGAAAATGTTAGGCCTGTTTTGTCATATTTGCCCATAATAATTGTTCCTAGGGRTTAGGTCAAGCATTGAACTTCACATGAGCTGAACCTAATTGAAACGATGAGGATAACAAGGCGCCCTTCTTTGATGTCATTAGGTTTGGCTCATGTGAGGTTCGACGTTTGACCTTACTTACTTTTGTAGTTTYATAAGATAAGTCTTGTTGTCGATGTCATAGATATTAATGACACGCATCCCAACRAGTCTTAAACGAAAGATAAAGAAAAAAATAATAAGCTTAATATTCCATTTTACTGTTCTGTTAAGTGACCAWGAMTAATAATTCCAAGCTGAGGTTGGAGTTGCCGCCTGTGATAAAAAGTATAGTTTTGCTATGCGCGGAAACTCCAGCYTTGACTTTGAACTATTATTCGTGGTCACTAAACGCGACTGTAAAATGGAGTAAAGAACAATATAGTGAAATTAATTTYGCGTATTTGCTTTAATTTTATAAACGTATTTCACAACAGAAACGATGTTATATAAAACATATTAGACTTTAGACAATGATATGACAATAACTAAGTTTAAAAATAACATTAAAAACTCAATTTGTGAATTTTGATACGTGTTACATTTGCAAAATATTATTTCTAATTTTACCTTTGATTTAACTCAGTAACCGATGCACAAAGATCAAGTGTGCTAAAGCGAGACTTCATTTTCACGGGAATATCTCTTGGAGAGTTATTTTTTGGGTGATAAAATGCTATTGTGAAAAAAAGTACGTCTCAAAACTTGGAAATTCCAGTCACTTCGTCCGCCATRTTGGATAATACCCAAAAACCCTTGCAAGCAATGAAATAAAGGAAGCCCAAGCTCGGTTTTTGTGCCATCGCAAAAAGAAAATCTCGATTTTTTTTACTCTCTTAATTTTTCCTGTTCTTTGTTAGAGCCAAATTTTACTGCAGTCAAAGAATTTATACGTAAGGAAAATAAGTGATGAAGGAGTAAGCAATTGAAATGGTAGGGAGGGAGGGCTCTCCCTTTTTCTTCTCTTTCCCCCCTAGAGCCGAACTACGCAGGCTACGGTATTGCATGTGAGTGAAGTTGTTTGCGTTGGTTCTCTCCTGTGCTTCGAGGGTTTATCCTCGAGTTCTCCGGCTGTTGTCCCACGCTGTGATGTGGCAGCCAAAGCTTAATAGATTTTTTTTTTACTTAGCAAAAAAGCTGAGTCTAGAAAGAAATTACCCCTTCCTCCTTTTTGTCAATGAGTTTGTACTATGGCGAAGTCCACCCGAAGTCCGAACAAGTCTGAAATATCCTAAATCCGAAGTCTGAAATATCCTAAAGTCTGAAGTCTGAAATGTCCCTCCAGGGTTTCCGTAGTTCTCTGTCGATTTTTTTTTTTTTTTTTTTTATGTCGTTCACGGGTCCCTAGTTGAGCCGACCACCAGGAACAGAGGAGCAAAAGCTTAACGACTCATGGAATCAATTTATTCAGGTTTTCAATATGTTATTTTTGTCCCTTAAGATTTGAAATGTTGTCATTCATGAGCAAAAAAAAACAAAAAAACCGGAAATCCACAGTGATTTAGAGACTAAAAGTGACACCTCAGTTTTGCAAATTTTCTCGATTCCGATAGGATTAGATCATGCAGCTGGATGCATATRAGAATGACGTCACATGCAAAGCTCTGGGGTCAAGAGTGTTTTTCTTGACTAACTAGGGACAGGTGTACGGTGCTTGATCAGGTGACGGRCAGCTGGGCAGAAACAGATGGACAYAACCAGTTCTCGAACATTCMGAATAGGACACTACAACCTGGTATTTTTAGCTTTTTCAGTTCACTCTTTTCCCCTTCTGRGGACATTCATCGGATCCATTATATAGTTCCTAAACGGTTCCTTTCTTAATACCTGTTATATTTATAGTTCCTAATAGTTATGTATATATATAGTTACCTGTTATATATAGAATGTGTACCTTAAATCCGTTAAAACGTTAACTAACAAAATTGTACGAATTAATCTGACAAATAACCTTAAATTAGTGGTTAACAGTTAAATGATATTTCCGCATTATTTTGGTTAATATTATGGCCTTAAAAGTAATATAATTGTGGRGTTTCATACAAAGTTTCTAACGGATATACTGTATGGTATGCACTCTAATCCCTTAATTATCCCTAAAACTATTTCAAGCTTTTGCAAAATATCGTGATTTTAGTTCAGGCAATTTTGATGGGGAAATACTTCTATAATATCTCAAAATATCGTTGCCATATCAAGAGAAATTTTTAGGTGACCCATTACCAAAAACTAGTTCAACTGTTTTCTACACATTTTTCGACAGGTGATTTTAAAACCAAATTTAATTAAAGAATAATTACTTATTTTTTAAACTAAACAAAAATAATAATTTTGAATTCCAGTGAAAACTTCAAAATKAGTCATTTGTTTTTTCGGAATAGCAAAAGAATAGCAAAAGCCATTAGTTATCATCTGTACTGTTTTKAAAAACTAATAATAATTTAACTCCCAGCAAGAGAACTCAGATAGCTGCTCTCATACAGCGAGAAGAATTTGACCAAATTTCACTTTAAATCAAATTTCGTATTGTTTCAATTATACTACTAGTTTCAATTATTTCAAGGTAACTCATCTAAACTTTAAAAAATCTTTTATATCCTTTTAAAGGTGATTTAATTTGTTTTTAAGACAAATWATTGCTTTAAGTAATGATTTTTTGACCACATACAGAGGGTTTGTTTTCGTTCATGTATATAAGAACGTGTGATTTTGAAATGATATTTTGCAAACGCATCTACGTAACTGTCYCAAAATCTCAGGTAAGCGTTGTTTAAACATAAATAAACTAAATATTTTTTGCATTTTTAGGAAAAATCCTTGCTTATTTGAGGAAGATTTAGGCTTAATTATGTTTTACTGAAATACGTTTTCGTGTCAGCAGACCTTGTTTGGTGCTGGCTCGACATCAATACGACATAAAAATTGCCATTTTAAACTAATTGCTGCAAATAAGAAAACGAGCGCTGCATGTTAAACGATAAGCTGATTGCGACTCAGTTCTAGAGGAGCTCGAGTTTAATTTTCGACCATTTCTCAACTAAAACAAATTGTAAACGATTTGGAGTATTCTATTTTTTACAGAACTTAACTCAGTTCAAGCGATTCTCTTCTGCTTGTTAGATTTCAATTTTTCATGACTACAAATGCCGGACAGGAATTTAATTAAATGGCTTCTTCTTCTTTTTTCTTTTTGTATAAAACGTTTTTACTCGGGCTTTCAAAGAAATGCCCGAGGTATAAATTGAGCTTTATTTGCGTTCTGTCACAAATCGCAGTTGCGTTCAAAGCGCATGCGCAAGTTTTATGCGCGTGCGTAGTATGCGCCACATAAGCACATGGTCGAGCAATGGCGAAATTTTTCAAGGTTTCGTCAGAAGGATGACAGTGTTCRCGAAGAATTCTTTCGATTTTCTGCTATGAAGCCCGAGTTCACGCAGATATGCGTCTAGTTTCTTGTTAAACCATATGGTCARAGTATAGAAGACAACTAACTAGAATTTAATAAGAAGACCAAAAACGGTGAAATTACTGATTTCACGTGATTTGTTCRTAAACTGCACTTTTCATCTTATAATCTAGAATTAATATCGACTACGAGAATCAAAACTGGTCGCCATCATGAAAAAGAGTATTATTTTGGTGCTCCTTTTGGTGTCATTGTTGATGCTGAGTCAGTCTTCTGTTGATGGCTTTCTTTGTAAGTATGTTTTTTTTCCAAATCTATACTTGAGCCTAATGTGGTCAGCACCATTTCTCCTGGCCAAGAGGACCGCAGACTGTGATGAAAGCAAAAAAAAAACGGAAAGGATGAAGTATATATATAGGAATATGTAATCTTTTTTCACCTAAAATCCATAACTTAGTCCAGAAGTTATGAAGTTTTTTTTTTTACTTTGAATTAAAAAGAATAATGATAATAACGAAATTAAAACTAATATAATGTAAGCCATAGAACACGAAAAATGCCGCTCTTCAGAAGTATAAGTCCTGGGCGGAAGTTTTTTGATAATGCTGTCAGKGGAGGGGGAGGCGAACGGTACGAGTAGGAAGGCCAAGAAAAAGCACTGAAATTTTCAGCTAATTATCTGTTTATCATTATCTAACTTTAAATAAGTTCGCAGAAGAAGACGAAGACCAGCACCCACAACTGCAGCTAAAGCAAGCGCTGGTAGTCCGACCAAAATGAAATCGCGTAAGTTGATTGGACGGGTCTATGATGACAATAATACTTCAGTTTAGAAGAGTTCTCTGTTGCTCAGGGTTACCCTCGATGTTGTGCGGAATATTCATGTGTTCCAGTGAAGGTCCGTGGAATTTCAAAGTGTTATTTTATACCATTGGTATTTGTGAATATTTAGACACCRATTCGAGGCYAAGCATGAGTAACTGAGTCTGTAATCAAGGAACGCAGCKGTAATTTGGAACTAGARTATTATTAAAAGATGATCTGGGGGGGACATACCAAACGTAGGAGGGTGGTCGGGTGGTTTTCTCTCCCACTCATTAAAGAAGATTTTTCTACTTTCTTTCATTTTACTGAAATGATTGAATTAAAAAGCTTAGCTTGCTACGCTAGATAGGTTACTTGATCAAAGCGAGAGGTTTCACACTCTTAAAAAAGTTGACTCAAACCTAGTACTTTTAAGTAATCACAGGGGCCGCGGAGACGGTGCCCCCCACTTTTTCTTTTTTTCTTCTATACTATACTCTCACATATTTTTCCCATTTTACTCCCCCCCCCCCCCCCCCCCCCCCCCACCCAATTTCGACTGCTTGAATTCTGTTTTAATTTTAACTCTTAACCCCACCCCTGGCCACTAGAATAAAAGGTGCTTTTATGAATTGTAGTCTGGGAAGACATTGCCGACTCGGTTCGCTAGGCTTTTGGCCGGCCCATTCAAGACCACAGGTAAAAAATATTAGATATTGCAATAAATGGTTAAAGATGGCAGATGACATATTATGATAGACGATAGTAATATAATTTTTATGTTGATGATATTGATGATGATTAYGATARYGATGATCGAATATGATGATGATGATGTTAGATCAGTGTTGTTGATTATGATGATGTTAGATGATGTTGGTGATGATGACACATCGGATGATGATGGTGATGACATTGTTGATTATGATGATGATGATAATGTTAGATGATGATGGTGATGATAATATTGGATAATGATAGTGATGATGGTAAATAATGGCAACGATGATATCCATAATGCTGGTGAATAATTGTTGATATTGCCGGTGGTGATGATCTCCTGCTGCTGCTGGAGATGATAATGGCTGAAAATACTGATGAAAGTTAGGTAACCAGAGCGACAACAATTTTTTAAACTTTAACATATAATGTCTTTATCTTTTCCAACAGGGATATTACACCTTGAAGTATTAGTTTAAATCCATGCCAAATAAAAAGATTGTTAAATCTCAAAACCTGTAAAGTCTTAATTCCAATAAAATCCCAGTGATAGAAATTGACGTCTTTTTAGTTCACTTTCATATGTCTCCGGACTACAGTCTTGTCGGTCTTCTCTCCTCCCTGCTCTCCTCCCTTCACCCAACCCCCAAGAAGCCTAATTATTCCCTTCGCCATGGGAGAGTCCTTTTTTTCAGTAACTTAATTTTAAAGCAAAGCAACATAAGATTGACATGCATTGGCAAGGCAGCTTGAAATCATAAAGCAAACTTCACAAAAACAAGTTTAGTTTTATGGACGTTCATGGTCATTGTTCGCGCGCATCCTTTCTGCGCATGAATTTAGTGAGCGAGCGCTCATCGTGATGGCGTAAGCAAAATATTATAAAAACGTCCTTAATCTGTTATAGCTCTAAAACGAAGTCGGCCACCCCATTTTTTATTTTGTTTTTTGAAAGTACTCGGCAATACTGAACTTTAGAGAAAGAATCTTAGGCCTAGGGCAAACGTCGAACTTTCCATGCACCGAACTCATAAAAAACAATGGATATCAGGTGATAATGAGGCGGCATTCTTTGATGTAATTAAGTTCGGTGCATGGAGAGTTCGACGTTTGCCCTAGGCCTTAAAAACCTGACAATGGGATCAAATCGAAATTGCATATATTTTGTACGATTGCAATAGAATTTCACGTAACTTGAAGGTTTCAAGTCCACACTTAYAGCACAATAACATTATATATTTCTAATTTTTAACACAAATTTTAAATGCTAACTAGTTATTTGGTTATTTTTTAGTCTTCTGTGTAAAATGGGGACGACCAATTTGTTTTTTCAATGAAATATGACTTATTTTTGACAGCTTTTCATGTTTACTTTATTCGCGTGGGGTGAAAGGGTGAATTTCCATGTGTCCTGACGGCTAAACGAAGTCGGGGACCCCCATTTTTTATTTGCTTATTTTACTTCTAGTATGTTCTTTCATCGTGCGAAATTGTTAAAAAAATATGACGATGGGATCGTTTGCCATTGAACGTCCTAAATTTGTAAAAAATCATCTCATCTTCAGAGATTATTCACTAATGTACATGACAAGGAAAGCCCCCATAAGCAATCCAAATGAAGACAACATGTGCCACACATCATGAGCATCATAAAAGTGCAGCAACAAACATTCTTTGTTCAGGTTTCTTGAGACGTCAGGAGGGTCAGTTTTCTGTGAGGTTGGGATACCCTSGAACAAATAAATGGCAGCTGACATAATGACGATCGCACCGATGATATAGGAACCTTGGAAGATCCTTAGAGCGATAGTACTGAAAGACATCTTATACACTGTTCCTGTTGTTGCCTTGTAAGCGTTGATTGTGACTTTCCCTATGCTACTAGCCAAAGCAGCAACAATAGTACTGAACAGCAAGAGGTTAGARATATCTCGGTTTAGGAAAGACGGAAGGATGACACAATTGGTGACAACTGTAAGGACGAATAAAACAACCTTGACTTTGCTTTCAAACGTGTGGAAACCATTCTTGATGGAGCTGTGGAAAAGCTTGTTGCAAGACCAGAGGAACGTCATGACATACCAAAGAACCATGGCGACACAAAAGATCACGTACACGGAGATGCGCAAGTTCTTTCCATTTCCATACTTGTTATATAATGAGCCAAGATAGTTCAGAATGTAAAGAGGCACTATGATGAAAAGAAAGAACGTGGTGTCTTCAACTGGCCTTGGGTTTCCCACCTCTTTCTGGCACTCCTTCACTGACAACCCATTGAACAACGAAACGACAATCAATCCAGCGATGACAAACATGAACGCACTATCAAACTGGAAAGTTAGTCTCGAAGGGCAGAGATGATAGGTCAGAGAAAACAGACCTTCGAATATCAAGGCCCAAGCGAACGCGTAACCGATTGAGAAGCTGTATTTCTTCTTGTACGCTCGAGTRAAAATCTTAAGGGTCTTTTCCTCGTCACAGTTGAATTCAGGAACTGACAACTCGGGGAGGTGGACGTGAAGGTTGGAGCATATCAGGGTATGTCGAGGTAACTGCTCCCCTTCGTCTGGTTTTTTGKAAGGCTTCCTGTACTCAACCAGTGCTTTCCTTCGTGCCTGGATGTAAAGTTCAGCCTCCATGACCCAAATCGACCAAGCAAGGATAATACCATGAATMATGTAGGATAGATTACTGATCATTAGGTTAAATGGAATGTCATTGACACCAACACGGTAGCACCAATCATTATAGAAGCATTTGTCTCTGTCGCCACTGTCAACCATCAAGGACCAGTTCACGTAGACGAACTGAAAAGCACCAACAATGAGAACGAACCCAACGATGCAAGTGATGTAGGAAAATGTCTTTCTTCCCTTCCCCACCCAATGGTATCTCATAACCGTCAGCATTGCTCTTAAGAGCTGCTTGTACGTACTTGGGATATCTGCCTCGGGGTGTAGGAGAGGCCTTAGTTCGTTGTCTTCAGACTCTCCGCCGCAGCAATCAAAAAACTTGCGGCTCTTAAAACTCACTGACGCTCCGTTTCCACTAGTGCTTACGTTACCGAGAGAAGACTTAGAAGTATTCAAACTTACCAACACCAAGGGCTCCTTAAAACATTTCAGTGCCCAAAACGAAATAAATAYGCCTCCGAAAAACGAGACGAATATAATGAAACAAATGGGTCGCGAGTAATCATAGTCGAATGAGTATTCTAACTTGATATTAACAAGCTTGTCGTATGTGGCAAAGTTTGTATCCGGGGTTGGTAAGACACTTATAAAATATGGTTCTTCAACTTTGCGATTAAAGTTTGGCGATGAAACTCGGGAGAGCGTGATTCTGCCTCTTTTGGAAAACGTTAAAAATATTGACGGCTTTGAGTAGTCGATTAYATTTTTGCCAAGCTTCTCTGTTTGGCTACAGTAATGAGAGACAGTCAAGATTCCTTTGGTAAGAGTATCTGATTGAACAGTTATGTCGAGTTGTGCCTCCCTTCTTGAGCTTTGCTTTTGCTTTCCTGGCCAAAACTGAAATATTTTTGGCCCTCGAAAGCTTGCCCCGGTCTTATTAATCACCAATTCATTGGTTATGAACTGTATTTTCACTTTGAATTCCAACTTTGGTGTGCCTGAAATCACCACATACTTGTTTCCTTTGCCTTGTTGGCTAGTAGTGTCCAGGCAGACGAGGGAGTGRCTACTATTGTCGTCCCTAGTCACTTCCAAACGTGCTATAGTCTGTGCCATCTCAGAATTGAATACTGTCACTTGGAGAGATCCTTTATAGATTAAGAGGAAATTTTTTTCAATAATGAGCAATGATGGCAGAAAGCGCCAAAACTATACTTTCGTACTATGAGATTTGATCCCAATTTTCGTTTTGGATTAACACTCAAAACTTTTTTTAAACAGTTAGAAACTGATGTACCATGATAAAATGCCTGTTGAAGCGGTATTTTCAATTGTACAA